GTACTGTCTGTTATTTCAGTATATATGCTTTGGTAGGCATACATTAATCAATAAATGCTGTTAGAGATGCTGGGAAAAGAGGATTAGTCTATTTCCATTTGTTTCCACAAGCAGTTAACTTCATTTCAAATGATCACCCTTGTTACCGGATAATTGGCTTTTAGTTCGGCATTTACTCTATAGTTAAATAATCTAGTTGTTTTAGCACCCTTGACGCTAAGATCTAAGAAGTAAGTTTTATTTTAGACTGCAACATAGTTGATAGGTTTATTAGTTTAAGCACACTTATCGATCAGTCTCTGTAGACATACTTTTCAATCAAGATAATGAATGAATCAACGTCAGACCACCATTGAAATCCTGGAGGCACTAGACGGCCGTTTTTCCACAGTATGGGACGCTCATCCACAGTCCTGAACTCGGGGTCCAAACCCAGAACATTCAGTCTCGTAGATTGACCGAAGTTAGACATCAACACCGTTGGGTGCCGGCCCACTGGTCTAGACATTAAACGTTCGCGCGCGAGACCAAAGGTCTCGGGCTCGAACACCAAGCGCGGGTTTGTGAATAGGCACTGTTAAGAGATCCCATACTAGTGCAGAACGGCCTCCCAGCATTTCCAGACTTTCAACGGTGGTCTAACATTGATCCATTCCTCATATAAATCAAAACTCAACAATCTCCACAACCCTATACTGGTACTTTTTATTGCTGATACATTTTGATGACCGAAAGTTCTTCTAGTTTCTCCTTTGTGTTGAGTTTATGATCATGATGGAAATGGTTTTTTAGGCTATCCATACTTGTTTTATCCCTTGATGTTGTAGCTGACAAATGTCTTCCAGATACTCAGAACACAAAATAAGTAGTAACACTTGATTTATTTCATCACAGTAACTAAAATTGTCTTGTGTTCCAAGTGTTTCCATGTGTAATGAAGTGATAATATTATCAGATTACTATTCTAGACTAACATGAAATTACTCTTAGCGCAGACTGAGAAGTCCAAAAACTTTTAGAATATGAAAACTCCCTTACTTTCAGTACATATGAAGATATTTCGTAACTGTTTCGTCGTAAGACGATATTTTATATAAGAATCATCACAAAGAATGACAAAAGCAATTATATTCAAATGGCAATATCTATCTGAATTCTATTGAATATATAAAACTTAATTAGGTTTCTACACATTATTCTGTATGAAAACTCAACAGTAATAATTCTCGCCAAATGAAATCCCAATCCGTTTTCCTCGATGCTTCTAATAAGCACAGTACATACATACACGGCAACTTGAATGCGATAGAAACGGTACTAATTGAGAATAGGACCCTCTACTTCAGGATTAGTCAGTGTACAGAACAACGATGTTGTTTAGCCAGATTACTGGGTTTGTTAAAGTAAATAATTTGCTGACCAAAAGAGATTCGATTTATACTACCTGTCGGCGAGACTGTAATGTATGAACGAACTAATCACGTATAAAATAACAGACAAGGGATTTTGGAACGAAATTCACTCATTCATTTGGATAAATAGCGTCTTGGTATTTTAGCTGATGTCAATTCGTGATAAAAAACCCCGAAATCTAATTCCTACCCTAAATCATCAACTGCAAACTATAATTATAATTCCTCACACACTAGTTTATAACCCTCATTCGGTCCTTGTTATTAGGTGGACACTCAAGGTCAGTCTAGCGTCGCTAAAAAGGTCATCCATAGATTATAGTCTCACTAAAACAACCCCAAAATTAAGTCTAACTTTGTGGTTGAGAAGTCTTTAATTAAGCATTGTGCATCCATATACATTCTCGGAAAAGCTATTACACGATGAGTAAGCGAAAGATATGTTGACCGTTGTTAACTTCAGTAATGGCATCAAAATTAGGTACATAAGTTGTAGGAACAAAATATTTGCTAACGAGCGTAAAGATAAACGGGAAAGAATATGAAAGTAGTTCATCTGTTTAAATTCAGTAAGATTTTATTATGTGGAGAGGAGGTTTTCAAAGACGCTTTTCACTGCATTCTTTTTACTACTAATAGTCAAGATCTATCCTCAGTTAGGAAAAAAATGTTTACGTGTGATAAGAAAGGTTACTGTTGTCTAGGCAGATCCAGATACTATGCCGAATTAGTTTGTCAAAGACTTCGAGTCATAGGCTCTATAACAGGGACTTACAGCAACGACGTGTATTTACAGATAGGTAAATAACTATGAGATGATTTGAAGCATGAGTATGTTTCTAAAGCGAGTGCTCTTCCATTTTAAGACAACAGGCAACTAATCTTGGAGAAACTCAGTACATGAAATATAAATAATTCTGTGATACTTGTACGAACTAATGATTCCGTTATACTTGGTTGCCCGCTGATTCCGAATCCTAAATACAATACATTCGTTTGTACTCATCTAGTTCTGTCTGGCTTAAATTGAACTGTTCCGGGAATTCATAAGTAGCACAGAAATTCTTATTATCATAAAATCCTAGTTTTGTTCGGTTTCAAGTATAAATTATCCATTCTTATACACTTATTTGAGTTCCTGGAAAACACCAAGAATTTCTTGAGGATAATTTAACGGTTAAAGTTCATATCCGTAAAATAGGTTCACCTATCAAATTTTAATAGCGTAAAAAACGTTAACGATTATGATGGATATAGCTGTAGCAGTGAATAAGTCCTCAAAATAAATAGTTCCATGTCTTTAATAATGATGTTGAACTCGTTAGTTTTACTGGAAACACCCTAGCTGATATCCACTCCTTTGATTACAAAGAATTTAATAGTCAAACAGTTTCTGGTGAATACCGGTTGTCATATATTTATCTATTTGCTGGTAATTTAAAACACAAAAGTGTTCTCAAGGAAAGATTAGTTACAGGTGATTGGAAAGACGGTTTAAATACATTGGAGAACAAATTAAGTGTTCATCAATTACTAAACCACTGGAGTGGGATGTTAATATAACCACCTCCCTATCCTCAATGAAGCTTTAAAAAACTATAGCTGAAAGCGGCAAGCATTAGTGAGCTAACCTTAGAATTGTTTAGTTATCTTTAGAAATCTGTCTCGAATCCACAAATCTGTATCATTTTTAGGTATTATATTTTCTATGCTCAATCTTTTTCTGCTACCACTAATAATGTAACTAATATTATACCTCGTTAAGCTGTAGCAAATTGAATCGATCTACCTATGCGCTAGGTTATACGTTGTGATTGACGACAGACTGACTATATGCTATTACTTAACCAAATCTATTAGAATAACAGAGTACTTCAGGCAGATATGGACTTGTCGAGTTTAACCGGTCATTCTGTAAGTATTATAAGCTGTACACTTTCGCTAACAGTAGACCTTACGCTTAATCTATAATTAATTTTAAATCTGGCCGTCGCATCTATAATTCAATATCCGATGGTAAAATGGAAAAAATTTCTTAGAAGTTGCGCTTCCAATTATTGGTCAATAAGCCACCTATGAATTATGTATTCAAAGGCCATTTTCTTTGTTGGAATTTGTGAAAGAACCTTATTGATGATTGAAGATATTGAGTTATATAATTTGAATATGACCGCAGTGTGATGTAGATACATTAATCCACTTAATTGGACTTCTTACTGTTCCCATCTCTAGGGTTTCTTTGTTTGTGGTGAAGCGTATATACATGACATCAACCCATGAAGATGCTAGTTGTTAGCTTGGGCCATGTAAGTAGGCGCAAAATACGTGGTCAGGGTCCGCGTGATCATTGTAATCACTAGTTAGAAACCTTGAGTGAAATGGTTCAAATTCGTTTGTAATGTAACCTTATTGGAAGCATCATAATGGTTAGTGCAATGTTCTACTTTGATGAACACCTGTTTCTTTACAATACTCACTTCTGATATTGATGACTACCTGGCAATGAAGAAACAAAGTATGAATATTACATACTATTGATGAATAACAAGTGGTTTCTAACTTACGAACCATTTCTGAAATCTAGTGGTACTTAAGAACATGAACTGAGTAGCAACAAAAGTGTACAAAAAGAATATGAATCTGAGTATGGATATTTCTTAAACTGATTTATTCGATACATATTCGTGTACTTGACTTTGAGTTGCACTCTAAATATAAGGGATAGTAGAACTATCTAGTTGCCAGAATTGGAGTAAATAGGACAGGATATCTAACCTAAGACGGCTTAGTGCTTACAAGTAGAACGCTCTGACTACTCACTCATCGCTGTATGATAATATTTGGTAAATTGTTATAATACAACACTAGTGCCTACCTACATGTATGTTGTCCCGATAAGAATAATGAATGGTAATTTTTGGGATCCACTTATGGACCAATATTATGAGTATACTTTTATCGTATAATTGTTATGCAACTAAACTGTTCATATTCATACCGCTCTTATTATGAGCTTTATGTTGACCTATGAACTACTATTGTACGATTTACCATTCATGAATTATTCCCTATTTGTTAATCGCTACCTCCCTCATTCACAGCCACTTCTGGCTAATTATTATACAAATGTTATTTTCTATTTTATTGGTACGTTGTGGTCGGGTTGATTGGTATATAAACAGAGTATGCTTGAAATACAATGATTCATATCTCAGAGGCTGAGACTTGAGTTCTGGACTCAACTGGCTGGGCTAGACAGGGAAGCAGGGCCAATCAGAACTCTAGGTCGTTCTTACGTGTTTTACGCGTCTTTGGTCCGATCGATAATGCACTGCTCTCTAATCTTTCAATCAAGGACACAACAATTGGCACGAGGGTAAAAATCGATCCAAGTTCAAGTCACAACAATGTAAATGTTCCATCAAGTTCGTTCTGGAAATATTTGTAAGTAGATCAGGACAGTAAGAGTTAATGGAATTGCATATTGATCGGTAGGACTACAAAAGATGAGAACCCAAAACAAGAAAATCTAGTTGTGACGTTATTAGCCGATCAATTTATTAGTTATATAGAATGACAATAACAGCCGTTGAAAAAAACGAACCATAGCACCGAAAACCATGAAGTTAAGTTACCGTTAGTTATTAGGCATAAATATTGTTATTTTCTTCAAGGATCTAAAACCGTATAAACAATAAAACGTTTTATTCTGTGCTTGTTTCTTGTATAACGATGAGACTGTAATCACGATCTAAGTCGACAAAATAATAGAAAATAGAAAAAAAGTTCTTAAGTAAGCGAATAGAAGGAAATTAAATAACATATTTTTCTAAAAGTAACTAGATGAAATACAACCTGATCGAGTATCGGGACTTGAAGACTTCGGGGTTTGATCTCTTGTGGGGTAGTGGATGTAAACCCAAATTAAGGAATTTCATCCTGCATATAAATAGTTGTCAAATGCTTACAGCTTTTCAATACTTATCTAACTAAGATCAATCTGTGATATGGACTAAAATTAATGTCAATAATTCGGGACATCAACAAACATAAACTGAATGTCACTATCGGTAGAGGAGTTACAAATGAATCTAGCTAACTAACGATTAATTTTTATAACATGAATGTTAAAATCCTAAGCAACTTTTATAAAGTGATGGTATTTTCAATAACTCAGTTTCAGTCGATTGTCAGTATTTAAAAAGAGAATGGTTTTATGTTTACGGATAACTTATTAATTGTCTTATCAAATAAATAATTTGTCATTAAATAAAGCAATGCATAAATGAAATATATTACCAGAAACAATACAGCAGAAAACGCCAGGAAAACATGATTACAATATCTTAATTAGATATGATGGATACATCTAGGGCAGTTGGAAATCCCTAATTCCAAACCAATGGTTTACATGGACTCCAGGATCCTGAAGAAACAAAAGGCGTATCAACTTATATGGTTGGTCACCGGCTACTATGTGACTGCATCTCCTAAACTTGCTCCACTGCCTTGTGGATTGGACTTTCAGGTCAAAGGTTTAGGGTGTGGCCTCGCCAAAAAAACCACCTGCTTCGGTTTGGGCACCCGAGCATTATTACAGTCCTCATACAAATCAATGATAACTGCTAATGGCCTCATTGTTATTGTGTGGTGCATATGTATTTGATGCCCTATTTTACTAATGTTTATGTGAATGGGTTTTGTGGAGATTTTTAGAAATTTCACAGGTTGAAATCATGAGTCAATTGAAGCTAGACCACCATGGAAAACCTGGAAGCACTTGACGACCGTTTCGTCCTAGTGTGAGACTCCTCAGCAATGAGCATCCACGATCCCGCACCCCGCGGGATTCGAACCTAGGACCTGCTGGGTTCGCGCGCGAGCACTTAACCGAAGTTAAACATTAACACCGTTAGATGCCGGCTCAGCGGTCTAGTGGTTAAGTGCTCGCGCGCGAGACCAGTAGGTCCTGGGTTCGAGTCTCGCAGGGGGCGAGGTCGTGGATGCGCACTGCTGAGAAGTCTCACAGAAGGACGGAACGGCATTCCAGTGCTTCTAGGTTTTCCATGGTGGTTTAGCTTCAGTTAACTCATGATTTCAACCCGTGTAATGTTTATGTGCTCAAATAAATAAATAAATAACATTAGATAGCACTAAAAATATGAACATAGGTAGCGAAAAAAAAGATTCATAAGATAGACAAATTTTGTTTGTTGATATCTACCAAAGCCATTTGATTAGGATAAATAAAAATGAAACGAGGAAAATTAATTATAAAGAAAAAAACTACTACCTGGTGCTACCATAATTTCATTTCGAGTACTTCGTATACGCAAAAATGTTAAATCATTAGATGGATCTAAATCACGAACAGCAGAACGCGATTTTGCTACCAATTGTTGAATAAGACCACAGTAATGATTTGTGGTACTGTTATCCATGGAAGTTCTTACTGCGATCCCTTAGAAAAGTAAATAAGATATTTTTATATAAGAAGAACCATAAATATTAATCTCAATAATGAATGAGATCAATTGTATCACTGAAGAAGAATAAAGACAATTTAACGAAGAAACTTTTCTTTTCGACATTAGTTTATAGAAAATTATCAAGATAACTAGTCTGATGAATAATAATGATATTAGTATGTAAGAACAGTGTAATTTCATAATAGAAGTATCTGGCCATGAGTTTTAGTTCAGAAATGAGCAATATTTATGTTATAACTTGTGCCCTAATAATATTTAACATAATGATACCATCAATAAGAGAACAGTGATTTATCGACCGAACTAATGACGCATAAACCCGTACGAGCAGTCTAGAGTCCTTATCGGTTTTACTTCCCGCCTAGTCCAGAACACCAATCTCAGCCTGTGAGATATGAATCAGGCATTTCAAACATACTGGGCTTATATACAAACCAAACAGACTACATCGCACCATAAAATAGAAAATAACATTGGTACAAGATTTAGCCAAACGTTGCTGTATTCATGGGAGACTGTAATTGATAGACTGGACATAAATTAAGAATGGTAAATCGTATAATAATAGTCAATGGGTTAAAATAAAGTTTATAATAAGTAAAATATGAATATGGATAGTTTAGTTACTTAACAATTATACAATGAAAATATATGTACAGTATTAGTCCATAAATAGATTCCAACAGTTGCCATTCATTATTCTCGTCGAGATATAACAACTTAGGAGATGGACAATATCTAAATCAATATGAACTTCAACTGTAAGGTGTTGGTCTACAAAAAGCTTTGCTTGACCTAGGTTTCGTGCTCGTCCACAAGGTATACCTGTAATCTTGGAGAAACTAATACTCCTTGGGAGATTCGATCCCGTGTCACTCAATTTCACAGTCAGATACATTACCACTTAGAGTAATGGTCAAATTACAACTTGATCAGTGTTAAGAAAGACTTGAGATATGTGAAGTTGGCCACTACTTACTCAATGATCAGTCAATTGTAAATATAGTTTAGTGAGATGCTTTTCTGATTAAGTAAGATTTATCACACTTACTTGAGATGGGACACGAAGTGGATATAATAGAAGCATTCGAAGTAATCAATAAATAATCTAGCTGTATATTAGTAAAAGTTGTGGAGGCCATAGGTAGTTAGGCTTGAACCTGATCATCTGTTTTGGTAGCCAAGATGTTTGTTATATCCTAGTGAAGATTAAATTACGAGTAACTTCTGAGAACTATTAATGGACCAGTATTATATATATATTCCTATTGTATAACTGTTCAGCAACTAGATTGTGCATATCTATATTCCTGTTATTATAAGATTCATTTTGACCTATGGATTATTATTATTATTATTATACGATTTACTGTTCTTAATTTATGTTCGGTTTATTGATTCCAGTCTCCCACGTTCACAACCGCTTTTTGGCTTGATCTTGTATAAATATTATTTCCTATTTTATGGTGTGATGCCGCCTGTTTGACTGGTATATAAGCCAAGTATATTTGAAGTAAAGAATTCGCATAGTGGAAGCTGTTATTGGCTTTGTGGACTCAACTGGACGGGCCAGGAGGAAAAGGACCAAAAGAACGCTATGCTGTTCATACCGATTGATACGTCATTGGTGTGGTGCGGTGCTAAGATAGTATAAGTCGTATTCCGATTGGCGAATAAGTCACGTGATAATAAGCCGGGAAAAGACAACAATATTGACTTATTTTCCTATTCAATTAAGGATAATTACAACTTAGTGAGTTCGATTCATTTGCTTCTTCTTTATAAACTTGGATTTTTGTTAATATTACGTAGTGAGAACTATCTTAAAAATATCCTACAACTGTCACTCCCAGCATTTATAGAAGCCTGTTAACATTTAATTCTTAACGATATTTACGTTTACATTCTATACTTATATATATTTATCTATTTAAACACATAAACATTGGTATACGGAGGCACCAAACAGATATGCGCCACATAAATCATTCGATTTGTGTGAGGGTTATGATACTGCCCGGGTGCCCAGACGAAAGCAGATAATTTTCTTAGGGGGCCACACCTGGAGTCATCAGCCTAATGGTCTGATCCAAAAGGGAGTAGAGCAACGTAAGGAGATTTAGTCCCATGGTAGCCGGTGACCAACAATAGGTTCATACACCATTTTTTCCTTTAGGATAATGGAGCTCATGTGTACCATTGGTTCGGAATCAGGGTTTACCAACTCCCCTTAGTGGACTCTCCGTGTCCATCAGCCCGGTTAAAGCGCCGATATTCGCTTTTTATCCTCTCGATTTCGTAGACAACACTCTCACCGCGAGAAGGCAGTGACTAGGACTTTTTTGTTATTGTTGACCAATCCATCTTTTAAAAAATTCCAGATTATGCATGTAGCTGAAGTGAAATATGAATTTATTGTATTCTGTAATCAATGTCTTCAGTTTATTCAAATTTATTATATGTAGTTAAAATCTAAGCGATTTCAGCTGGGTGGACGGCAACACGATGAGACGTAACATTTGGAGGAGTGAGAAATTATCGAAACGCTTTTATTTTGAAAGACTGCCTCCAAATGCTTCCATATAGTTACGTATATATACTCACTAACTTTTTGCGACGGGGGTATTGTTTACAAAATTAAGGACGGGAAAAGAATCGGCGCTCAAACGGAGTAAGAATGATCCACCTAGAGGAGATATAAAACTCTGACTCCAAAGTGTGGTGCATATATATTTGGTGCCCTCTTGTAGCAATATTTATGTGTTCAAATGGACATGGGTTTCAGGATCCTAAGGGAACAATTGGCGTATGAATCTATTCTCGGTCACGGGTTTCCATGGGACTGCATCTAACGTTATTTCACTGTCTCGTGGATTAGATCCCAAAGTCAAGAGCTTGGGGAGTGTGTCCTTAAGAAGACCATCTGCTTGGGTTTGGGCACACAGACAATAATTCAATCCACACACAAACTAAATAATAACTACTCTGTGTGGCGCTTATATATTTTAGTGCCGTTTTGTGCCAATTCGTGTTTAAATAAACAAATAATAAAACATCACTATCGATAACTCTGGGAAACAGGCTTTGATTTATGACGCCTAGCTAATTAAATGAAAGGTTCCCAACAGACAAGAAAGAATCTATAAAAACAGCCTACTTTCAGACTGAGGCGTACATTTACACATATATCTGAAGTTGTTTACAATAAAAAAGGCGAAAGATTTATCCGCAAATGAGACACCCCCAAATGCTCTGGTATGGCCGAGAGTGGGATGGGTTCGCCCACCCTCTCCAAATGCTCTCACATGGCTACGTGTATACAGCCTCTGCCAGGGAAGTCCTACTCACTGCATTCTCGTGGCGGGGGTGTTTACGAAATTCAGAGGACGAAAAGCGAATGTCCGGCGCTTTAACCGGATTCTAAACCAATGGTGCACATGGGCTCCAGTATCCTGCGGGAACAAATGGCGTATGAACCAATCGTTGGTCACCGGCTACCATGGGAATGTATCTCCTCACGATGCTCCACTGCCTTGTTGATCAGACCTTTAAGTCGAAGGCTCCGGGTGTGGCCCCCTAAGATAACCACCTGCTTCGGTCTGGGCACCCGGGCAGTATCACAGCCCACACACACAAATATGGTGTGGCACATATATATTTGGTGCCCTTTTGTATCAATATTTATGTGTTGAAATAAATAAATTACAATAAAAACGAATGGGTCAATGATTGGTAAAGCTACTAAATATCAGTTATAATGCTTACCATCTGAGCTTACAATAATTGCACCAATAACTCCTTTGTGTGCCAATAATCTTTTAAATGTTTCTTCTACTTCTGACTTAAAAATATAAACAAGTGATTTAGTATGTATTAGCATTGATCATAATTACAAAAGTGTGAAGTAATTTGTTAAACTTAGAAATCTTGTAAAGGATATTGGACAAAAATTCATCTATCTACAATTCTATATACTAGTGATTAACAGACCAATTACAGCATAACAATACCAGCATTTACCAAAAAATTAGATATTTTAAGTCGCTTAGCTGATTAAACAAACACTGGAAATTAAGATTTACTAAGTGACTTTAGATATGTAATATACAATTATCTTGGAAGTTAACATAAGTTCTAATTAGTTGATTAGTTAGAAGACTGTTATATTGTTTTTTTTCTCAGTCCATTAGTTAATTTAAAGCAACTAAAACTGTTGTGTTTTATTCCCTGTTAATTATCACGTGACTAAATCGCCAATTAGAACCTCAACTTATTGACCAGACCAATGACACATAAACAATTACGAGGAGCCTAGAGTCAACTCCGAGTTCTCAGTGGTCCTCTGAGATAGTAGGTACTCACCTAATCGGGCCAGTTTAGTCCAGAACACGAATCTCAGTCTCCGCTATATAAATAACATATTTCAAACATATGCAATTTATATACAAGCAAATCAGATCACATTATACCATAAAATAGAAAATAACAGTTATGCAGGACCAGGTCAAAAGTGGCTGTGAATGTGGGATACTGTAACTAAGAGACTGAGAATAACCTAGGTTACGAAAGCTTATAATAAAAGGAATATATATATATATATATATATATATATATATATATATATATATATATATATATATATATATATATATATATATAGTAGCAGTTCATAAATAGATCTTAGCAGTTACCATTCACTCATTCTTCGTCCGGATATAATAAAAACAAATTAGTTTTTCCAGTCGAATGAACGGAAGGTGAAAAGTACCTATTTACTATAGAGAGATTGTACAAGAAAAGAAATACAGGAGAGAAAGCATAGGACATAGGTGTAATGAAAAGATGAGGCTGGAGGTTAAACACAGGGTACCAGGTAAACATTACAAATAGGCTGATGAGGTAATGAATCTTTATCTATCAAAATAGTTGGGACACGTATTTCGTATAGCCAACCACTCTCTGTCTCGGCAGTCAATGTTGTTTGGTGTAGGAGTAGGTTGATAAAAAAAGTAGGAGCTGTCAGACAGACGTGACACCAGTCTAGGGGGTCATCGACAAATGGACTGAGTCATGTTTGTGGGTATAGACTATCTGGCTAGGGTTTGAGTGATTCCTGTAACTAATGGTTAGGGATATTGTATGATATAGCTCAAAATCAATTGCAATGGTGCAGGTACATCCGATTTTTGTCTTCTTCTAAATTCTGAGCTTCTGGATTCTTCATGACTTTCTTATCTTTTCATCTCACTAATTTACATTTCCTTGGATCATATATTCGATACCTAATATTTTCAATCACCACGCATGTTGTCACTACGTCTACTATTCTGGGATTTGGCTTGGCAGTTTCATCCCTCTGTGCTAATGGGGTATGTCAATTCGAATCGATGTACATGCGTACTAGGCTCTATGTTGTTAATGACTGAAATTACAAAATTCAACTCTGGGTTCTAACACTGAAAAGTGAATATATATGTGGACCACAACAGTTCGAAAACACACAAATAATGCCGGGTAAGCAATCACAATCAGGTCTTTTAATTGTAGCTCAGGAACAGAATATGTATCTATAGCTAAAAATAATTCATTTGCCAAACACCAATCAGAACTTTAATATATATTTAAGACTCGAGAGTGAAACCGGTTTTGTTTACCTAAACCAACCCATTCAGCTAGTACAAGTTTACGTACTCGGCTTTGAGAAACATGGAGCGATGAGTTTCGGCGCAGCTAGTCTTAAGGTATTGCTTCCTGCACGTAAAACACAACAGACTTAGATACACTTAGTGCGCGCAAAGTTTTTAGATTCATTTGAAATACTCACTAGACAAAACTTTACCGCATGTAGACTACGTCGATCATAGACTCCATGGTTATTGTGAGAAGTCATCTACCACTACGTTAGTGAAAAAGTTGGGTGAAATGAGAAATTACATATAAACACCGGTTTTTGTTCAAACTTGATAAGTTTCTTCAAGTTCTTATGTAAATTGGTGGATACGTAGATTACAGTTCTAATCTTTTTCAAATTACAAGTGACTTAATGTAGCACTTATTAAGGAAAGTATACCACAAGCTTAGTTAATATTCCTATAGCAGTGGCGCGAGGTCAGAACATGTGACTTAGTAGCTGAAAACAGAACGCTCTAACTACTGAGCCACTGCAGCATGGAGTACATACCCAGTTATGGTCAGTGGAAATACTTAGAAGAGTGTCAAGTTTCAACCATTCATATGTTTGAGACGTCACTCAAGGTGAATTAGATGAAGAAAAAATGGTACACTAAGCAAAAACTTAGAAATAAAGAGTAAATTCGTCGAAGAATGAACCCACATGATTTACGATCCCTCAAATGTACAAAGTACTGACTGTCAATGCCAATTAATTGACTGTGGTGAGGAAAACATTATGGTGGACAGGTATACATATATATTTATGTAGGTTAAAAGACCTGATGGTACTGGGGCCATGAGAAAGTGAAGCGGTTCACTATTTAACGTGGAAAGTTGCCAGACGAATTGTTTTTGTAGCGGTCCTAATTAAGTCTCCTCCCGAAGCTGCTTTTTTGGCGAACATCTAGAAAATACACTCAGTCTGCATCCAACCAACTAACTATACACCATCAAATCAACGGCTTTTTTAGTGACATCTGTTTTCAAAACGCCTGATTTTCTTTGGACGAACTCACTTATTCGAAGTTGAAATCGATCAAGAACGAACTTTCTGTGGAATCCACTACTTTAATTGCTCTACCAGACATATTAAAATGGTTGTTGTCAAAGTCCTTGTCATTTTCGGACAGAACATGGAGCGAAGGAATCAAATGGATTACGACAACTCATAAAATGCTTAACAGCCATCCGAAGATTCAGTAAATTTATTGTTTCTTTCTTTGCGAAAGACAGAACTAGGTGATGACGTCATCGTAATACAAACCACATATATCTAGAGGATTGGTGAGTTGGCCCACAATAAGTTCAAGACTAGGTGATAAATATCACTTTTAAATAACGATATACTTCGAAGGTACAACACATACAAATCGTGTTAGATATGATGTAGGCTGAACAGATGGATTAAATATTTGGTAAGTCCTAATCCACATTCACATATTTATGCTAAATGTCAGTTGCAAATACTTCATAAGGTGATGATAGGAAGATGAAACAAGTTAATAAAATAAACAAATTACAATTAACAACCCGCTTACCATTATCTATGGCGCAACAAATAGACAGGTTGCCGCGGTGACGATGCAGCCGGTTGATAAGTTCGATATCCAATATCCAATTTCTTCTTGACAATCTTGCACAAAACGATTAGTTCCTTTGCTCTCACTTCTTGTCATTTCAATACACTTCCAGCTCTCTGGTAATGTCCAGTTGGCTTTAGCACAGTCACTCGACTCCACCAACTTTAATCAGCTTGGTGGTCATTTGTGAGTCTTTAAATTTGAGTTAGTGAGTTTGTATGAAAGCAGAAGGGTCTCTGGATACTTGCGACTATCACATTACCAGATAGGAGGTAGGTTGGCTGCAACATAAAAAGTAATGAAGTGAAAACTCGAGTGCCATGAGAAGACGATTGTTTTAAGAGGTAGATAGATAAATAACTTAATAATCAAGCTAATCAATTGGTGATGCACAGTGTGAGGAGACCTATATGTAGGGGCGAAAGGAAAATATAGATGATAATTGGTGAGATGGGAATTAGTTACTGATTTTTGATGATGAAAAAGTAGTAAGGCTGAGAAAAATGGATCAGGTACAGCTGATCCAGGGGATGATAATCTGTGGATGAGTACGTGTTTATTAAGTTTCCACTTAAAGCTACCCACTGATGGGGCTGTGGTCACTTCGGCTTGGAGAGCATTGCGGATTGGGACAACTCCTAATGAGAAAAAGTGAGAACGTGCCAATGTGTTCGATCTTTGATATGTAATAGTTTTAGGATTGCCTCGAGTGTGATGTTGATATTCCGGTAGTATGTTTGTATTGAGGTGGTCTGGCGTACTGAGAATGTTTCATGACACTGTTATATCACCTCTTATTCTCTTATTGATCAGCGGGAATAATCACAAGTGTTGGAGTTTGTGTTCATACTTGTTCTAAGGGGTTTACGTCTTTTTGGAGAGCAGGTGGGAGCGACGCCACAGTGAACTCGAATGAGGGACCGCGCGTGCGTTTTCAAAAGATTCAAGAACAATTACTTGGTGATCGAGTAAAGTTCTCATCACATAAAGCGGAGGACTGAGTTTAGCTTGGCTTCATCCCGTATTTAGTTGGAGTTGTTATCTAGGCTCTCCGAGGTTGTAAGCCTGATCTCATGCTTTAGCGTCACAGTCGGGAGACGGTCGTCGTGTAGGCTCTACTAATGCAGCTTAGGTAAGAAATATTCTCGTCCCACCAAACTATTTTGTTTGTGACCACGATAAACACGCTTGCACCATGATCACTTCTTCCTATCGGTGGGTGGACATGGAAACTCTCGGATAAGTAAACCATTCCAGTTCGAGGGTTTTCCGACCTTACCTCATCTCGTGTTGTCACCCACATGTTCGAATAGTTCCAAAATTCTCTTTGTATAAACTGAAGCACTGCGTTTTCCTCTCATTCTCCTGGCCTGTTTCGTCGCCTGCTGCTCCTCATCATCAGTATAGGTCTTCCGCATTTTAAGCAGACTGTTGTTTAAAATGTATTGGTCAGTTGCGTGCGAACTAACCGCTGTATAATTGAGACTATTTAGGATGTATCATTAGTGGGGCCGTTGTCCCTGTGTGTTTTCTGCAGTTGTCTTAGTGATATCTCTGTCCAATAGTCTGTAATATAAGTAGCTTAGCACGCCCTCTTTTCTTTCTTGTTTGCTTACTAGTCTTACCACGAGTAGGAACTTGATTAAGAGTTTGATCTTGATTGCCTAATTGAAGATGTAGCTTCGGTGTTTGAGTTGAGTGATCCATTTTGTACAGATTATTCAGGGTTCATCGACTGATGTCGTCTCTATAGAAACCGGGATTTTCAACCTACTATAAACTCTTGAATAATGATCTTCATCAATATTTCTCGTGACTTCAACGTAAGCAATCATGCCAAAGCTATTACTTTGCATGTTACTCGGTGGAGAAAGTACATAATGTTGGATAATCTGAGGGGGAAACACACATGATATAAGTTTTGGTGTAGGAAATTAATAGAGACAATTAAACGTATGCCACAGGAGAATAAAGCCTTAAGGATGCTTAAAATCACAAGATTGCCCTTGTCCATCCTACTGAGCAACGTCGAGAGGATTTTACATAAGTCCTATGTTTGTAAGGGAATGTATGTTTGGGTAGTGCGGTTGAAGTAAAAGTAATGTTTTCAATGCTTACCATTTTAACAAAGATCAAGTAAAATGTAGTGGATTTTCCGGATGCCTATATTTCTCTGTCTTATCTGAAATAGCCTTTTAGAGAGACCTATTAGTTCATTAGTACATTATTTCAGTTAGGTACCGTGTACCTAAACGAAATTCAGTACTTTGGTAGTATTATGTTCTGTGCATCAAATGGTTTGACTATGAAGCATTCACTTTCTTTCTAAATAGTATCTTCAGCATTCAATTCTCATTGACTTGAACGTTTCAGTTATTTCGTAGATGATAGTTCACAATGCCTTTGGTAGTTTTTCCAAATGACAGAAATGGGTAAATTCACAGACTAATTGCCAGATAGCACTGGTTGTTCTTGACTCTGAAGAGGATCGGCAAACTGTTTAGTACTCAGCCACCTGCCATCCGGGTGGTACTTCACTGACCCTACATATCATTTGTGATATTCATTGATTTCAAAGCATAAAAGACTGAATACTTTGTAATAGCAAAAAGCTACTCTGTTATTCAAAGGAAGTTTGGATCCTCTCGCTTTCTTAGTGATTAATTTGTCAGCTACCGGTGTTTATTTGACAATCGTACGTAGTCGAGATCAGTATGCTTACTATACTATACTGGCCACATATAGATAAATATTCGAGTCTGGGAGAACTACGTGAGTACAGTTGGACATATTGTATTTGACATTACAGTCAGGCTAGGAGTACCTTACAAACGCGTTATCAATTTGTACAAACGCCACACACTATTAGTCAATAAAGTCCTGTACACAAGGACCGGTTGGTGGGGGTATCCAATAGTGTTTATGGGAAAGTTAAACATGGAATATAATAAATAATTGGCATGGTCAAAATCATCACAGCTCCAAATCGATTCTCACGCAGCATGAAGTATAAAAATAGTTTGATATTGAGATGTCTCGTGCTATTAGTTGTCCCATATTATCTCCACAATTAACCGTGAAATTAGGGCAGGAAACATTTTCGATTTGATCCTATATCTCATTAGAACGTCTCTCGTTAGGAGAACCACGTGAATGACATCTAGCCTCTGTTTATTTAGTTGCAGATCTTATTATGCAATTAAAGAGTGAGGGTGAATAGCGAAAAAATAAACGTGGTGTAACTTGGTCCCTGTAGTTCGTAGTATACATAATCGTGTTTAACTCTTGATCAGCCCCCTTTCTTCTCTCTACGCATTCCCTTTTCACTTGTTTCATACTTCATTCTTGGAAAGTTTCGGAATTGTATTCTATAGGGTTTACCATTTAGTTGTTAATTATTTAAAGAAAGTTTGCATACAGGAGCATCTGACAGCGCTGATGTTCGAGTCTTTCAATAAAATCATCCCGAAACCAGGAAAACAAGTATGGCTGGGAGAGAAATTGCATCTTGATGCACGCAAAATTAATGTGGTGTGTGCCCTCTAAGTGAGTTGAAACATAATCTAATGTGGTCGTCCTACCAACTGTCTTTAGCTAGAGGTCCTACCAGTTATTTTTATATGATCAGCATCAATATCAAACTCTTAGATAGCTTCCTATTTTGGAGACTTACGAACTTCTATATGCCGATTTGTGAAGCACTTTTCGCTACTTTTAACTTAAGCTGACGCTCCGTAATGTCTAAGATTACACTGAATAGTAAACGGAAAATAAAACATGAATTATTATTTCTAAACGTAGTCTGTAGCCTTATCACAAATTTCCAATTATGATTATAAGCGCTGGCTAAATATTGTATTTATAAATGATATCTTTCATTGCAATGAACTCTCTCCCCTTTCTGTTTCACTTCTTAACATTTCAAACCCTGCTAATCTGACAAAGTTCGAACAACCAAACGAATCCCCGCTCATACGATAGCTTTCAGTTCGAGAAACCCTAATAACGCGTGGAAAAATTGTTTGACGCTTTTACGATAAATTGACCACGAACTATGTTTTAACCCTGTAGTGACCTACTTTTATGAAGAGAACGAGATTAGTATAATCGAAACAATTATTATTATAACCAATTGTACCAGAGGTTGTTTTACTGTACCTGTTTGTTTAAGTGTACTAAAAACACACATTCTTCCGTTGTCTCTGACCTTGCACGAACTCGCGTGCGCTCGGTAGCCCCGCTTGTAAACTTCGGCACGATCTCGGTATTATTTTGATACCACGAGATCGCCAACAAATACAGCTTACTACAATCTTCGATTACCTTCTGATATTTGGCCCGCGAAGGTTTCTAACCTGGTACCTGGCACGTAGTCTTTCTGCAGTGGTGATCATAGTCAACCGCGACTTGACGCCTACTACAAACCAATAGAAGTACAATGGTCATTAACTAAAAAGATCCTCATAGCGAACAAAAATGGTCTCTGACCATTTACTATTGGAAGTATGCAAATACGAACGAAATTAATGAGTTCGTATGGCGAATAACCAATACACTTGCCGTACAGTTGAATATTTTATGTTGTATTCAAATCTGTAATAGCAGTACAATAGAATTTCATACTGCGAACCTAGAATTCGGGTTCTTAATTGTTTCTTGTTGAAGTCCTAGAGTCATTGGAACTATTTCTGTTTCTTTATGTCACTTTAAATTCACCGTTCGTATAAGCTCGCCATATAAATGATGAATACTGAAAATTTGATAAGTATTATTCGGGATCTACTTAATTCGCTCACTTAAAATCAATAATAAAGATGACTGAAATACATTTTGTAGCAGATTTCAAATGATGAACACGTGATGTTCTAAATAAAGTGTTTCGATATTCTTACTCATTAAATAGCTCAATCGTTTGGTAATGCTTTCATATGTAAAGTACAAATAGCTTTTCATACGGTTATCTTCGCATTTTGAGAAAATTTTAAAAATCGACGAACTATATAATAATTCAGGTGTTTTAGGGTTTTTTCACATAAATCTGTACGACTTCTTAGCACGTGGTTGTAGATGTTGTCGAATATCATTACAACCTTGAACCGTTATAAATTCGACCGCCATTAAGAACTCGGAAGAACTGGATGGAGTTTCTTTCTAGAACAGGACTACTCATCAGTGCTCATCTACAATTTCATAAGTGAAACTCGAATCCAAGATCTTTGGCTTGAGCTTAGATACTTAGCAGTTAGGTGATTTCTGGATGATAATCTTAGGTGTAGACAAATAACATTAACCATTCAATCACAATGTACCGGTCGTAACGTCGATTCCGCTTAACTTCATTTCTATTTTCGAAAATATTATGAAGCTGGAATAGAAGCATAATATTACTTTGATAATGAAAACTTTATTGAAAAAAATAAAACAACAGAAGTAACTATCAAGCAAAGATAAGGTTATTTTGACGTAGAACGAGACGTGTTTGAGCGTACGCACAATAACCAGAAAATTACCAAACCAAATGTTGCAAACAGAATGAAGCCAATCAAGAAAGTTAGCAGAATAAGATCTAGAAAATATGAAGAAAAAAGTAGGAAATGTCAACTTGTGAGATTTTCAATATCAAAAGACAAAACGACAATGACATATGATTGTAAATATATATAGGTGTCGATGCATTAAAACGTTAAAGCCTTAGTGATATGCAAGGAGATATCAAGCAATAACTATGACTGAACTACTAAAACAACGAATATGAAAAAGAAACAGGTTAGTGATGTACAAAGTCAGAAACAAACAAACTAACCTGTATCAGACGAACTTTCACAATTGGAAGATTGATCCAGAGAAGTTTGACATTCGTAATGAGCAACTAGAATATCGTTTGAATGAACAATATTTTGATGACTGGAAACTAAATTGACACGAAAAGAAAAGTAAGGTATAAATAAATAACAACAAAGAATGAAAAAAGTTCATTTAAACCATCTTGATTGATGAGTGAGAATATGAATAATAAAAATAACCCAGTTTTAATAAATCTATATAAAAACATTAAATAAGAGCAAACAAGATAACAGAAAAGTACAAAAAGCAGGTGAAAAAAGAAAAACATTTGAAGTCATCACGATAACAAATGAGGTCGAACGATAACAACATAATAAAGAAGAAGGAAATTGAGTGTAAAAACAGAAAAAAAATTAAAAGATAAAATAGTTAAGATAAACAAATGATAAAAGAGACAATATAACGAAACAAGATTGGAGTAATAGACACAAGATCGCTAAAAATTTCATTCGTCTATCCGACTTTGTGTTGGTTTCGACGTTCTGTCGGGACGACCCACGACATGCAAGTTCCAACTATTAGGCTAAGAGTGAGGACTTGGCGTTCCATGTCAATAATAGAAAGGATTAACGAGTAAGATCAGCTTCAGTGATGATGTTATCTGTATGTGTGAACTCTCCGTGTTCCTCTGTTACTTTTACGAACGTAAAATGCATACATCCATCTTCACACTTCAGCCTCTCTTGTATTCGTTCAAACCTGTTTCACCGTGTTACAATTCACCTCACACTACATTTAGTTCATGTGATTCGTCTTTGGACTTTTTAACGACAGTTCCAGTCTGGGGACAGTAATTAGTTCGTGTCTTACTTGCTAGTCGAACGTACAGTAATTTGCTTTGTGGCAAAAATACTATACTGTGTCGACAAACAGTTTAAGTTAGCTCTATGATTCCACTCTTAATCTCACCCTTCCTCGGCAGCACGATCTCAACACTCAATTATGGATATAGTAGTACGGTGAATTGGCGAAGTTTGGAATGAAGTAACCGGTCGGATAATTTGGTACGGATGCATGTGATCCAATATGGTTGTCAGTGTGCGGAAGTCACTTGAACCGGAATGTGAGTGAGTGTGAATGTAGTGAATGAGTTAGTGAACAGATTGATGAGACTCACCTCCGTCCTCGGGAAGTACATTTTGTGATGACAAACTTCCGTCTGTGTTCACTGCTCGCAGTTCAGTTGTTGGTTGTTGAGATGAAACTGTCTGTTCCACGTTTTCTGCTGTAACTAGAGAGAGGAACAATTAAGAGGAAATTGAAAATATGCACATGTAGTAAACATTTCCCTTTGTGTCTGTCTCATTATGGAATAACCGAACAGAACATATTTTTCAGCACTGTGTCAGTTGTGATGTGGTGAGTACTGAATGTTGATACTGAGAATGTGATGCTCATTTGTCAATGAGATGGCCTCAGATTGACCTACGTGATAACAGCTTACCGTTTAGCGAGTGCTCACGTAATCCTGGTTGTTCTTGTCTCGAAGTGAGTTGATGGAATGTGGTGCTTATGTAATACAGCTGCTGACACTTCAATTGAATGATTGTATGAAGTTGTGTTTCAGTATACACGTTCAGTTGCAATAGCTAGATATTTGTTCGTTTTCAGATCGAGTGACAATGCGATCACAGAGCCATTTTGTTAGTGATGATAGTGTGTGTGCGTCTGAACATACCGAATGTACTGCACAACTGTTGTTCATTTCATCAGAACCGTCAACAATTTGACGAATAACTGTATGGCATAACTGATTGATATGTCTGTGATATCGATCATTCTGTCAAGTGGTTTAATAAATCTCGTGGAATGTGGTGACTCGTGTGTTGCTGATGCACACTGAGCACCATGTGCATTGCATATTCACAATGCACATGGGACACAGGTCATCTCGGTCAGTCGAAATGCTACCACATTCGATCGAATGCAACTGGAATCTGTGGATAGGTCGTCCACAAACAGTATACAACCATTTCGAGATAGGGAGACGCTTCAATGTGACAATGAGCTCCGATTGCAGTCGGCAACCATCGGGATGTCGGGAGAAGTGAACAATACCGTTGGTTGAACAATTTGTAGACATGTTAGGATTGCAAGAATATCTGGTGTATCGAGCCTAGTATTGGATGAGACGCAAAGTGTGATGTGAACCGTCCTCATTCGATGCCTGAAACAGTTGTCATTCGGTTAAAGTATGAAGCACATACAATGTGACTGTCAAAGAGAGACTAACCTTCAGTTGATGGATGCTCAGTTGGCGAAGGCATTGAATGACTTGTTGTTTCTGTTTCCACCTGTGTTGTGCTTCCTCCGTCCTGCTGTCCATCTCCTGTCACATTGTCAGTGGTAACTAGAGAAAAGCATGACACGTGTTTTAAAGTATATAGACAAGTATGCATTTATTCATATTGACTTATATCTTGTCGGCAATCTCATAATTTATCCAATGCTAGTGTACAATACTCTTTCTATATTTCATCAACGATCCATGTACTTCAACTGCACCATATACTTGTACATGTCGCGTGTAGTAATGGTGTTTCCAAACAGGGTCTGCAATGTGAGGCTTGGAGTGTGATATACTTGTAATCTATCCATCACTCAAAATGAGTCTAACATCAAAAGAGGAAGTAGATTGTGGTTACTGACATGCAAACATTGATGGTTTGGGCGATGATTCCAATCCACTCATGTTAGTCGGATAGAAGCTGTTGTTCGTCTCAGACCCTTAACGATTAGTGATGAGGCAACCACCGAATGGTATTGAGGTTGTCCTCCGATGTTCGCTACTTCTTTGACTCGTGTTTCCGACCTTGTGTTGGTTTCGACGTTCTGTCGGGACGACCTACGACATGCAAGTTCCAACTATTAGGCTAAGAGTGAGGACTTGGCGTTCCATGTCAATAATAGAAAGGATTAACGAGTAAGATCAGCTTCAGTGATGATGTTATCTGTATGTGTGAACTCTCCGTGTTCCTCTGTTACTTTTACGAACGTAAAATGCATACATCCATCTTCACACTTCAGCCTCTCTTGTATTCGTTCAAACCTGTTTCACCGTGTTACAATTCACCTCACACTACATTTAGTTCATGTGATTCGTCTTTGGACTTTTTAACGACAGTTCCAGTCTGGGGACAGTAATTAGTTCGTGTCTTACTTGCTAGTCGAACGTACAGTAATTTGCTTTGTGGCAAAAATACTATACTGTGTCGACAAACAGTTTAAGTTAGCTCTATGATTCCACTCTTAATCTCACCCTTCCTCGGCAGCACGATCTCAACACTCAATTATGGATATAGTAGTACGGTGAATTGGCGAAGTTTGGAATGAAGTAACCGGTCGGATAATTTGGTACGGATGCATGTGATCCAATATGGTTGTCAGTGTGCGGAAGTCACTTGAACCGGAATGTGAGTGAGTGTGAATGTAGTGAATGAGTTAGTGAACAGATTGATGAGACTCACCTCCGTCCTCGGGAAGTACATTTTGTGATGACAAACTTCCGTCTGTGTTCACTGCTCGCAGTTCAGTTGTTGGTTGTTGAGATGAAACTGTCTGTTCCACGTTTTCTGCTGTAACTAGAGAGAGGAACAATTAAGAGGAAATTGAAAATATGCACATGTAGTAAACATTTCCCTTTGTGTCTGTCTCATTATGGAATAACCGAACAGAACATATTTTTCAGCACTGTGTCAGTTGTGATGTGGTGAGTACTGAATGTTGATACTGAGAATGTGATGCTCATTTGTCAATGAGATGGCCTCAGATTGACCTACGTGATAACAGCTTACCGTTTAGCGAGTGCTCACGTAATCCTGGTTGTTCTTGTCTCGAAGTGAGTTGATGGAATGTGGTGCTTATGTAATACAGCTGCTGACACTTCAATTGAATGATTGTATGAAGTTGTGTTTCAGTATACACGTTCAGTTGCAATAGCTAGATATTTGTTCGTTTTCAGATCGAGTGACAATGCGATCACAGAGCCATTTTGTTAGTGATGATAGTGTGTGTGCGTCTGAACATACCGAATGTACTGCACAACTGTTGTTCATTTCATCAGAACCGTCAACAATTTGACGAATAACTGTATGGCATAACTGATTGATATGTCTGTGATATCGATCATTCTGTCAAGTGGTTTAATAAATCTCGTGGAATGTGGTGACTCGTGTGTTGCTGATGCACACTGAGCACCATGTGCATTGCATATTCACAATGCACATGGGACACAGGTCATCTCGGTCAGTCGAAATGCTACCACATTCGATCGAATGCAACTGGAATCTGTGGATAGGTCGTCCACAAACAGTATACAACCATTTCGAGATAGGGAGACGCTTCAATGTGACAATGAGCTCCGATTGCAGTCGGCAACCATCGGGATGTCGGGAGAAGTGAACAATACCGTTGGTTGAACAATTTGTAGACATGTTAGGATTGCAAGAATATCTGGTGTATCGAGCCTAGTATTGGATGAGACGCAAAGTGTGATGTGAACCGTCCTCATTCGATGCCTGAAACAGTTGTCATTCGGTTAAAGTATGAAGCACATACAATGTGACTGTCAAAGAGAGACTAACCTTCAGTTGATGGATGCTCAGTTGGCGAAGGCATTGAATGACTTGTTGTTTCTGTTTCCACCTGTGTTGTGCTTCCTCCGTCCTGCTGTCCATCTCCTGTCACATTGTCAGTGGTAACTAGAGAAAAGCATGACACGTGTTTTAAAGTATATAGACAAGTATGCATTTATTCATATTGACTTATATCTTGTCGGCAATCTCATAATTTATCCAATGCTAGTGTACAATACTCTTTCTATATTTCATCAACGATCCATGTACTTCAACTGCACCATATACTTGTACATGTCGCGTGTAGTAATGGTGTTTCCAAACAGGGTCTGCAATGTGAGGCTTGGAGTGTGATATACTTGTAATCTATCCATCACTCAAAATGAGTCTAACATCAAAAGAGGAAGTAGATTGTGGTTACTGACATGCAAACATTGATGGTTTGGGCGATGATTCCAATCCACTCATGTTAGTCGGATAGAAGCTGTTGTTCGTCTCAGACCCTTAACGATTAGTGATGAGGCAACCACCGAATGGTATTGAGGTTGTCCTCCGATGTTCGCTACTTCTTTGACTCGTGTTTCCGACCTTGTGTTGGTTTCGACGTTCTGTCGGGACGACCTACGACATGCAAGTTCCAACTATTAGGCTAAGAGTGAGGACTTGGCGTTCCATGTCAATAATAGAAAGGATTAACGAGTAAGATCAGCTTCAGTGATGATGTTATCTGTATGTGTGAACTCTCCGTGTTCCTCTGTTACTTTTACGAACGTAAAATGCATACATCCATCTTCACACTTCAGCCTCTCTTGTATTCGTTCAAACCTGTTTCACCGTGTTACAATTCACCTCACACTACATTTAGTTCATGTGATTCGTCTTTGGACTTTTTAACGACAGTTCCAGTCTGGGGACAGTAATTAGTTCGTGTCTTACTTGCTAGTCGAACGTACAGTAATTTGCTTTGTGGCAAAAATACTATACTGTGTCGACAAACAGTTTAAGTTAGCTCTATGATTCCACTCTTAATCTCACCCTTCCTCGGCAGCACGATCTCAACACTCAATTATGGATATAGTAGTACGGTGAATTGGCGAAGTTTGGAATGAAGTAACCGGTCGGATAATTTGGTACGGATGCATGTGATCCAATATGGTTGTCAGTGTGCGGAAGTCACTTGAACCGGAATGTGAGTGAGTGTGAATGTAGTGAATGAGTTAGTGAACAGATTGATGAGACTCACCTCCGTCCTCGGGAAGTACATTTTGTGATGACAAACTTCCGTCTGTGTTCACTGCTCGCAGTTCAGTTGTTGGTTGTTGAGATGAAACTGTCTGTTCCACGTTTTCTGCTGTAACTAGAGAGAGGAACAATTAAGAGGAAATTGAAAATATGCACATGTAGTAAACATTTCCCTTTGTGTCTGTCTCATTATGGAATAACCGAACAGAACATATTTTTCAGCACTGTGTCAGTTGTGATGTGGTGAGTACTGAATGTTGATACTGAGAATGTGATGCTCATTTGTCAATGAGATGGCCTCAGATTGACCTACGTGATAACAGCTTACCGTTTAGCGAGTGCTCACGTAATCCTGGTTGTTCTTGTCTCGAAGTGAGTTGATGGAATGTGGTGCTTATGTAATACAGCTGCTGACACTTCAATTGAATGATTGTATGAAGTTGTGTTTCAGTATACACGTTCAGTTGCAATAGCTAGATATTTGTTCGTTTTCAGATCGAGTGACAATGCGATCACAGAGCCATTTTGTTAGTGATGATAGTGTGTGTGCGTCTGAACATACCGAATGTACTGCACAACTGTTGTTCATTTCATCAGAACCGTCAACAATTTGACGAATAACTGTATGGCATAACTGATTGATATGTCTGTGATATCGATCATTCTGTCAAGTGGTTTAATAAATCTCGTGGAATGTGGTGACTCGTGTGTTGCTGATGCACACTGAGCACCATGTGCATTGCATATTCACAATGCACATGGGACACAGGTCATCTCGGTCAGTCGAAATGCTACCACATTCGATCGAATGCAACTGGAATCTGTGGATAGGTCGTCCACAAACAGTATACAACCATTTCGAGATAGGGAGACGCTTCAATGTGACAATGAGCTCCGATTGCAGTCGGCAACCATCGGGATGTCGGGAGAAGTGAACAATACCGTTGGTTGAACAATTTGTAGACATGTTAGGATTGCAAGAATATCTGGTGTATCGAGCCTAGTATTGGATGAGACGCAAAGTGTGATGTGAACCGTCCTCATTCGATGCCTGAAACAGTTGTCATTCGGTTAAAGTATGAAGCACATACAATGTGACTGTCAAAGAGAGACTAACCTTCAGTTGATGGATGCTCAGTTGGCGAAGGCATTGAATGACTTGTTGTTTCTGTTTCCACCTGTGTTGTGCTTCCTCCGTCCTGCTGTCCATCTCCTGTCACATTGTCAGTGGTAACTAGAGAAAAGCATGACACGTGTTTTAAAGTATATAGACAAGTATGCATTTATTCATATTGACTTATATCTTGTCGGCAATCTCATAATTTATCCAATGCTAGTGTACAATACTCTTTCTATATTTCATCAACGATCCATGTACTTCAACTGCACCATATACTTGTACATGTCGCGTGTAGTAATGGTGTTTCCAAACAGGGTCTGCAATGTGAGGCTTGGAGTGTGATATACTTGTAATCTATCCATCACTCAAAATGAGTCTAACATCAAAAGAGGAAGTAGATTGTGGTTACTGACATGCAAACATTGATGGTTTGGGCGATGATTCCAATCCACTCATGTTAGTCGGATAGAAGCTGTTGTTCGTCTCAGACCCTTAACGATTAGTGATGAGGCAACCACCGAATGGTATTGAGGTTGTCCTCCGATGTTCGCTACTTCTTTGACTCGTGTTTCCGACCTTGTGTTGGTTTCGACGTTCTGTCGGGACGACCTACGACATGCAAGTTCCAACTATTAGGCTAAGAGTGAGGACTTGGCGTTCCATGTCAATAATAGAAAGGATTAACGAGTAAGATCAGCTTCAGTGATGATGTTATCTGTATGTGTGAACTCTCCGTGTTCCTCTGTTACTTTTACGAACGTAAAATGCATACATCCATCTTCACACTTCAGCCTCTCTTGTATTCGTTCAAACCTGTTTCACCGTGTTACAATTCACCTCACACTACATTTAGTTCATGTGATTCGTCTTTGGACTTTTTAACGACAGTTCCAGTCTGGGGACAGTAATTAGTTCGTGTCTTACTTGCTAGTCGAACGTACAGTAATTTGCTTTGTGGCAAAAATACTATACTGTGTCGACAAACAGTTTAAGTTAGCTCTATGATTCCACTCTTAATCTCACCCTTCCTCGGCAGCACGATCTCAACACTCAATTATGGATATAGTAGTACGGTGAATTGGCGAAGTTTGGAATGAAGTAACCGGTCGGATAATTTGGTACGGATGCATGTGATCCAATATGGTTGTCAGTGTGCGGAAGTCACTTGAACCGGAATGTGAGTGAGTGTGAATGTAGTGAATGAGTTAGTGAACAGATTGATGAGACTCACCTCCGTCCTCGGGAAGTACATTTTGTGATGACAAACTTCCGTCTGTGTTCACTGCTCGCAGTTCAGTTGTTGGTTGTTGAGATGAAACTGTCTGTTCCACGTTTTCTGCTGTAACTAGAGAGAGGAACAATTAAGAGGAAATTGAAAATATGCACATGTAGTAAACATTTCCCTTTGTGTCTGTCTCATTATGGAATAACCGAACAGAACATATTTTTCAGCACTGTGTCAGTTGTGATGTGGTGAGTACTGAATGTTGATACTGAGAATGTGATGCTCATTTGTCAATGAGATGGCCTCAGATTGACCTACGTGATAACAGCTTACCGTTTAGCGAGTGCTCACGTAATCCTGGTTGTTCTTGTCTCGAAGTGAGTTGATGGAATGTGGTGCTTATGTAATACAGCTGCTGACACTTCAATTGAATGATTGTATGAAGTTGTGTTTCAGTATACACGTTCAGTTGCAATAGCTAGATATTTGTTCGTTTTCAGATCGAGTGACAATGCGATCACAGAGCCATTTTGTTAGTGATGATAGTGTGTGTGCGTCTGAACATACCGAATGTACTGCACAACTGTTGTTCATTTCATCAGAACCGTCAACAATTTGACGAATAACTGTATGGCATAACTGATTGATATGTCTGTGATATCGATCATTCTGTCAAGTGGTTTAATAAATCTCGTGGAATGTGGTGACTCGTGTGTTGCTGATGCACACTGAGCACCATGTGCATTGCATATTCACAATGCACATGGGACACAGGTCATCTCGGTCAGTCGAAATGCTACCACATTCGATCGAATGCAACTGGAATCTGTGGATAGGTCGTCCACAAACAATATACAACCTTTTGTAGATAGGGAAATGCTTTATTTTTTTTATAGATTTCGTATTTCTTTCCTTATGTTTGGAGTTTTTTTGCGACATTTTTTCTACATTGTTAATGGTAATTCTTTTCGTTTTTTTCACGTTTTATAATGCATTTTTGCCTCTCCCTTCTCAATATTTTTTTGTTTTTATTCATTTTAAGTGTTATATGATTGTTTCTTTCTTACCTTTTTGTGTGTTTTCTTTCTCATCTGTTCGGTATATTGGTTTTACTATCATTGTGTCGATGGTCACTAAAAAAATAATCAATATAAACTTCAGTTTATATCAATAGAACATTCTTTGTTCTCACTAGGTTTTGAACAAGAAGTCACATAAGGACAATCGATTGTTTTTCAATATAAAATTACAGAGCTCTTTAGTATAGTGTGAAAACTCATCCATTGAATACTTCATTCCCAAGTTTCCATCAATTATCCTTCATATTCTGTATGATTCTTCCAATTCACAATAGCTTTCTATTTGCTTCTTTGTTGTTGTTTTTTTCAATTTAATATTTTTGCCTTCTCTTGCTATGCATTTCATTTCTGATTGGTGTTATATACTATTTATATCCTTCGATATAAGTAGCATACACTACAACCATAACTTATACACCATAGTTTCCATTAGTTTTCATGTGGTTATGTAAGTAGGTTTACAAAATACATTTATCAATAGTATCATTACTGCTATGGTTTTCATTGCTGTTATTGACTACCATGATTTACATTCTTATTGTGTAATCTTTACCTAACTGAGTTATTTAATGTCTTTTTCTGTTTACTGTAGGCTTCCATTTGACTCAATAAGTATTGCTATACATATTATTATTAAAAACTACACCTTGCATGATTCAATATCACATTTGACGTGTTTTTATATATCTCCGCCTGAAGCCCCTCTTGGGCTACTGCCCGTCCCAAGCCCGGATAAAGGAGGACGATTGGGCATGGGATTAGCGACCCCATCCTGTAGAAAACTAACTCACCGGAAAAATGCTAACCAGAAAAATTATTCAAGTAAGTGTATAACTATAATGTTCTATTTGATAATGTGATATAGTCTAATATTTGTGTATATAAATTCATGAATGCTTGGATTGATAATAACAAAAAGTTAATTGATGTCATTTTTGTTTTTTTGCTTGAACTTAGGTCTAGGAATCAAGTGGTCAATAGAGTATAATCAGGGAGGGGTTTTGTGGATATTATAGTAATTCAGTAGTTGAATTCATGAGTCAATCGAAGCTAGGCGGATGGTGGCGCAACTTCGTGCACCGGTTGAAGTTAGACATTAACACCGTTGGATGCCGGCCAGCTCAGTGGTCGACAGGTTAAGTGCTCGCACGCGAGATTGATAAATCCTGAGTTCGAATCTCGCGGGGCGGGGTGGTGGATATGCACGTCTGAGGAGTCCCATACTTGGGCGAAACGCCTGTCCAGTGTTCGCAGGTTTTCCATGGTGATCTAGCTTCAATTGACTAATGAATTCAACTATTAAATGATCAATATAGGTTTGATGTACATAAGCTTCAAGTGTAGAACAATGGTATTAATTGGATGAAATAGGAATTCAAATTGGCGAATTCTTACCATTCACTTTAAGTTGGATGATTTTCAAGGATGATATTTCGCTATTACGAACATAATTAGATTTTAAATGATCCATTATTGAATCGATATTTAGTTTTTGTGCATTAGGATATAAAAAGCTCACTGACAGCGCGGCTGTCACTCCACCAAACACTTGAGATTCTGTAATAGGAACATTTACTTTAGAAAGCATAACTTTTCCAAAAGTTCCACCATCGAATCCTGGAGGAATAGCCTGTTCAACCAGTTTTTTAATCTAAATAATAACATTGATATATTTTATGTGTAACATAATTATCAGAGTTCGATATTAAAAATTCAAATTTACTAATATTATTCTCTGAAAATAATAATGAGTTAGTGAATACCTCCATTCGTGGTTAGGAAATGGTACCGTCGGAACAATACACAGTCCGTTCTATCACACTTGTTCGATAGTGGTCATGTAGTAGACAGAAATAGATCATTTAAAGTGAATTGTCGTATTCCTACTAGTTATCTTTATGGGGTTCGAACTCGTTTCTTACACATAACAGAAGATATAGGAATTACAGCTAACCATCCAAGTCTTTGTGTTCATAAGAAATTTGTAACACCTTTATCTCTTCCTTGGCCTTATTAAATGGTTTTATTTGTTATTATTTTCCATACTCTTTGTTAACTTATTTTCTTCACCCCTTCCAACACTTTTCTTTTTTTCCGAATATACGCTTCATTCTAAGTAAAGATGGATAGTGGTTAGCAGTGAAATCCAGTTTGACGCGCATTTCATCCTATTTGGGATTCGTCATCTGGATTTACCTGCATCTCGGAGTTGATTTTCACTCTGAGACTCGAACCCAGTACCGTTCACTTCAAACGCCATTGCATTATCCACTTTAACTACTACTGAGTCGTGATAGCCATTTGCTTGTGCAATGAGGTGAAGTTTAAATACACTTGGTGTTGTTTACTTGTGTCCTTCCATTGTTGTTTAGGACTGTAATTGATCAGTCTCTTATTGACATATAACCATATTCTTTGCCATGAATATTCATTATACATGATAAATAATAAAAATGAACATTACCAACGACGGATAGTAATAGATAGTTGTATGTATTCAATTGAATTAAAATTTTCATAAATAGGATTCCATTTGATCAGTTGATCTGTTTTGCATTTGCCAATAAAGCTCCATTAATTTGAATATCCACTACTGAAGAAAAATAAATTAAAATACCGGTTTAAATATAATACAATAATAATCTTATGAGATAGACAATCAATTGTAGAATATTGATGACGTGTATTTACTCCTTAAAACAGTAGTACTGTAGTGAACAGAACAAGCTTGAGGACAATCGAATGTATTTAATACTGAATTACAGAGCATCTCAATAAAATCTGAGAATCATATATTTAATCGTTAATTTGCAAAATGTCCACCAATTGTCTCAAAATGCTTCAGACTTCATTGTCCTTGCATTTTCATACAAATTGCATTCTATTCTCATTCTTGCTTTCTTGATGTTCCCCCATCTTCTGCTGCCAAACATTACATTTCTGACTCGCGTCATATACTACTTATATCAATATAAGTAGCACGCACCACAGTGCTTATCATTCTGATACTGTAGATTATTGTTATAATTTGTGGCTTCTGTGCCTTGTTATTATTATCACTTAATGATATCGCCAATTCGAGTACAGTGAATTATCGATCGGACCAATGACGTCTAAAATCCGTGCGCGCGGTCTAGAGTACTTATCGGTCCTTCTTCCAGAATAGCCTTGACTGTTAAGTCCAGAACACTAATCTCAGCCTCTGAGATATGAATCATTTATTTCAAGCATACTGGATGTATATACCAGACAAACAGACCATATCGTACCATGAAATAGAAAACAACATTTACACAAGATTTGGCCAAATGTGGCCGTGAATGTGAGAGGTGGTAATTAATGGACAGGGCATAATTCAAGAATGGTAAATCGTATAATAACACTTCATAGGTCAAAATAAATCTCAATAAGAGGGATATGAATATGAATAGTTTAGTTACTTAACAATTATACGATAAATGTGTACGCATAGTATTGGTCCATAAGTGGATCCCAAGAGTTACCATTCAGTATTCTTATCGGGATATGACAACTATACTGATGTTTGTGTATTACTATTTATCAGAATAGGGTTTTTTATGAAGATTGTAGTGATTTGAATAGTTGAATTCACGGGTGACGCAAAATCATGGATCGGTTGAAGTTAGACATTAATACTGTCGGATGTCGGTCATCTCAGTGATCGAGAGGTTAAGCGTTCGCGCGCGAGACCGATAGCCCCTGGGTTCGAGTCCCACATGTGAGATTGTGGATGTGCACTGCTGAGAAGTTCCATACTAGGATGAAACGGTCGCTCAGTACTTCCAGGTTTTCGATGATGAATCCAACTATTAAAATAATACTGTTTAGTTCAAGAATTAGTTGCAAACCATATATTGAATTGAACAGTAGTGTGCTTCACTCCACAGATTAGTTCTCTTATGTTTTACTTTGAATTAGTTGACAAGCTATTAGATTCTTTACATTCACCTTATAATGATGAACTGAACATTGAAAAGTATACAGTTTATTTATATTATCATTTTGTGGGGTTGGTCTGCGCTGAACTCCATTGATTTTTTGTTTTATTCAGTCTATTTATGGAAAGTTTTATTCACAATATTGTGTTATATAAATTCACTTGGTGTTGTTTACTTGTATCTTTCCATTGTTTTTTGAACTGCAATTGATCAGTCTTTTTTGGCATATGCGCATCCTGTGTGGACTGTCTTGATATGGTGTTAGGTCAAAAGTTTTATGAGCAAACATGGAAAGTGGTTAACAGTGGAATTAAGAACGCACGTTTCGTCTTATTTGAGACTCGTCATCTGGATGTACCTGCATCTCAGAATTGGTGTTCACTCTGGGACTCGAACCCAATACCGTTCGCTTCAAACGCCGTTGCATTATCCACTTTAGCTACTGCTGAGTCGTGATAGCCACTTGCTTGTGCAATGAGGTGAAGTTTAAATACATTTGGTGTTGTTTGCTTGTGTCCTTCCATTGTTGTTTGGGGTTGCAATTGATCAGTTTCTTATTGGTATATGTGCATCCTGTGTGGACTGCCTTGATATTGCCTTAAGTCATAAGCTTTATAAGCAAAAACGGATAGTTTGATGACGCGTGTTTTGTCCTCTTTGGAACTCGTCATCTGGATGTACCTGCATCTCGTTGTGAAACGATACTAAGATGAACAAACCATACACTTCATTTGATTGAGAATAGTTGTATTTTGTAGCATTTTTTTAAAACAGTCTTCCTTTAAATTTATCTCTCAAGTGTTTTGTGTCAAGGTATTTGCGTAAGATATCTATCTGAAATATTTCCACTCTCATCTAGTCTTTTGGAATTCCATTATGTATGATATTTTATACATCTGCTTACAGTTGTTCAAAAACGCATACATGTCATTACTAAATCATTATAGCCCCCAAGTGTCCTGGTACGGCCGAGGGTGGGGTGAGTCAACTCTCCCTCTCCAAGTGCTCTCAAATAGCCACGAGTATATAACCACTGTCAGGGAAGTCCTACTCACTGCCTTCTCGTGGTGGGGGTGTTGTCTACGATGTTGAAAGGAGAAAAAACTTTAGACGGGTTGGTGGGTATGGAGGATCCACATAGGGGAGTAGCAATACCCTGACTCCAAACCAATGTTTCACATGGGCTCCAAGATGCTGAGCGAACAAATGGCGTATGTAGCGACTATTGATCACCGGCTACCATGGGACTGCATCTCCTGATGTTGCTCTACTGCATTGTAGATTAGAACTTCGGGTCAAAGGCTCCGGATGTGGCCTCCTAAGAAAACCACCTGATTCAGTCTGAGCACTCGGGTAGTATCCTAATCCACAAACAAATCAAGTGATTTTTGTGGCACATACGTATTTGGTGCCACTTTGTACCAATATTCATGTGTTCGTATTTATATCATGATCTCGAAAATAATGTTACTGAATATGTTGGAAGAGTTACAAAAATATCCCTCGTCAAAGTTCATAGGGGTTCAAAAATTCCAGAAAACGCTTTACCCAATTAGTATTGGATAGAATCTTTGCAAACATATCTAGAAAATACAGAACCACGTTCCATAGTTCTGATTGGATACTGACCTATGGCTGTTACTATAGTTATTAAAGTTCCAGAAATTTTCAGAAGCTTAAAACCGTGTGTAACCATCTAAATACTCTTGTCTTTCTGTACATTTTCTAAGCTTATAGTGAAGAGTTCTTCATACAATCTACTCCTTTTACTTTTGTGTAGATTTAGCCTGGGTTTTTTAATGAGCTGTTGGGAAATCGGATTGAGTGTTCATTTAGGTAATAAGTTCAAACCAGGTGCTTTAAACTTTCAGTGTCATTATAATCTGTTAATAGTTAATAATTCAAATGCTCAGATAAATCATATTATTATATGTGCTACTAATGTCAACAGATATAAGTAGTGTATATCATCAATCGAAAATGAAATACCTGACGGCAGAAGATAAAGAAGATCAAAGAAAAGAGAACTAGAACTAAGAATAATTGATGTGAAGACAAAAGAACAATCAAGTATGAGACAACTGACTGACATTTTGCAAATGAACTATTAACTGTATGAATTCACTTGGTGTTGGTATACTGGTATCTTCCTATTGTTGTTAAGGACTGCAATTGATCAGTCTCTTTTATTAGCATATGGGCATCCTGTACGGACTGCCTTGATATTATCTTAAGTCATAAGCTTTATAAGCAAAGATGGATAGTGTTTAGTAATTGGAATTCAGTTTAATCCTCGTTTCGTCCTATTCGGGACTCGTCAACTGGATGTATGGTTCTTAGATTTGACTAAAAGATTCTGTAATTTTGTATTCAAACACATTTGATTGTCATCGTTTGTGTTCTCGTTCACTAAAATACTAGTTCATCATTGAAATAATACAATCTATGGTATTAGTTATGTTAATATGATGATGAAATAAATAAAAAAACAAATGCATTCCATGGAATAACTGAAGTAATAATCAAAACAACAACAATTTACCAGTATTTCCAATGCCAGTAAGTCCATTAGATGATTTTTGAACTTTAGGTCTATCAACAGATGGAGATCGATTTGACAATATTTGAG